AGGGAAAACCACAATTGTGTGGTAATGAACTCCTCAGCAGCCTGTTGAAACTTCGGTGTGACTCCCTTCCCTGTCTCAGCTGGATGTTGAAGTCAAAGCTAATGTGAACCTTGAGTTCTGCTGAGAATAACACCTAAGAGACAGCAGTGTTTGAAATCATGCTGTCTCTGCAAGGGTTCCTGAGCTTGGCAATTTTACTTTTATAAGACATGGCCCTGGTATGTTTGACTTTCCAAATCCCCTTACTGAGATCCAAGGGTCTGTTTATAAAAAAACATTCCTTAAACTCATTCCTCTGTGAGTTCAAGTGGGATTTGTACTCCTCAGTATAAATTGGTCCCCTGGAGCCATATTGCATTCTGTTCCGTGCAGGCCTCTCTATTTGATGGAATGGGAAGAGAAAGCAAACACCATCATATATAGTTGGTCATAGACATCTCTCAGGGACTAGAGCCCTCTAACAATAAAAATAACAATAACAACAGTCATAGTAGTAGCCCAAAGCGGCTGTCATCTAAGAGACAAGAGTGAATGGGCATTTGGTGGAAGAAACTACATTAGTGCCCGAGGAGCAATAGGACATTTTAAGTATAGTGTTCTAGGCCATAGATAGGAGTCAGAGACATTGATACAGAAACAGATAATAATGTTGTAAAAGAAAGTGAGTGGATTCAGATCCTATCTGGGGATTTCGGAACCGCTACTAGGACATCAAGCCTATTGGATTCCAGTGTAGTCCGATTAACTTAAGAGTCTTGTCACCATAAACACATTATGGTACCTATATGGGTCAAGTTTCAGCTAAGCTGGACTACATTTCCCAGAATTCCTGTCCCATGTGTTTATAGTTAGTGTGGGTTACAACAGAGAATCTTATGCACATTTTGAAAGGTGCCAACTCTGTTTCGCAGAGGAACTGGGTGTCACTTATCTGCTAGCTCGTCTGGTTAGTACAGGCCCAAAAGACACCAGCATCTTCTACAGAGGCAATTCAGATCAGCAAGGTTAGAGGTAGGAAGAACTGACATATTTCAGCTCAACTCTGTTCGTTCCAGTTTGTGCCTGAAGCTTCCAGTTTCCCTTTCTTTATTCTCACTTCCATCTAACTTCCCTCTCCAATGTATGCCTTGTGGGCTTCTAGGTCTGGCATTAGATAAAAAGTTCACTTTCAGTGATTCCATCTCACTATTGGCCAAAATCAAAAGCTTTACAATAAATCTTTATTATAATAACTTAGTTGCCCAAGATTCTGCTTTTCTATTTGGTCATAGTCTGATACCTTTCAAAGCAAATGGAAAAGTATACATTTTATCAGAGAAAAAAATTCCTTCAGATCTTTCTCTAGTGACTACTTGTTTCCAAACATCCATGCCAATTCATTAATCCGAGGATCACTGGGCTTTTTGTCTGTAACAGGATGGTCATGTGCATTTCATATGATTATTATAAGAATTAAATGAAATAAATATGCAAAGCACTCACTCACAGTAGGTGACCCATTATGACTGCGATGGGGAAAATACAAAATACTTTTTCTCTAGGAACTTCAGTTGTCTTCTTTTCAGTCCACCCAGAGCAGCTATCTTAGAATAAATGATGTCTGATATATGCTATTTAGTTAATTTGTGATGAGTGGTCACAGCTGTCCATTTCTGGAATATGATGGAGATGAGGCTGGTTTGACTCAGGCCCTGCTTGCTTCCTCTGAAAGTGTGTCACTGCAGGCGATTTCCTCTTCACTGCAGGGGAACGAATACCTCACTAAGAATGAACTGAGCACATGTGTCTCAGTTCTAATCTCCAAACATTTCCATATGGCCTGTTGGCTGTGGATTCCCCAGATCTGCCTGCCAACTCGTCTTGCCTATCTTGGTTATCAGAGTTTGCGGTGGGGGCGGGGGTAATGTTATTGAAAAAGGATGAAGTCCTTGCCATCAGCTTCATGAGCCTCTGGCAAACCCTCTAGCTGAGCCAGCCAGTGGGCTTTCAGCATCCAGACCACAGGATGCATAGCCCGGCACCATGCACTCTCTTGGGACAGGAAGAACATTCTTTAGGTTAATGATGGGTCAGGGTTAGACCCCTGGTGACAAGTCTTTGATCAAAAGCTCCTTTTTATTTATTTAAGAAGATAGAAGGTACAGAGAATAAGCCCAGATAATTCACTGTAAGTCAATAGGAAGTAAGAGAGATATTGGTTGTAAGAAGAGAGAGAACCCAGTCCCTATCTGTTTCTTATGGCCAAGGAAGTTGTGGAATGGTACTGAATTTCTCCCATCTCAATGTTCTATTCTGTCCCTAGCTCAAAGATTTATTCTGAGCTCTGAATATTTACATTTCAGCATGTGTTAGAAAAAAGAGAGCTAGACTATCAAGACATAAATACTTGGAATATTTGCAGTGTGCCAGGCACTTTGCAATATTCTAAGACATAAACAAACAGACATAATCCTTATTTCAGAGAAAAGCTAAGAATTACACACATAAGTTATTACATAATGGTAAGATAATAAGAAAAAATGTCAAAGGCAGCTGTGACTAGTCTTCGTGTGATTTGTATAGGAAGGAAAATGTGCTAAACGAAATCAAAGAAAGTGAAGAAAGAATTTTAAAACATTGGGATCCAATTGGCCTACGAGTTATCAAGAAGTTACATAAATGAACAAATGGACATCTACAGGGTTATATCAAGTGTATACAAATGTATTAAGTAAAGTAGGTGAGAATTCAAGTGTTGTAATTCCTTAGAAAAATGAACTCAGAGTCCAACAGAATGAATACCAGGAAACTGCCTCTTGAAAGGTGTGTAGGGGGAGATCCTGAGGAGGTGGGGAGATGAATAAATAGAGGAAGGGAGGGGAGAATTTAGTAACAATATTCAATGCATATCCAAAGAAACTAGGAACATTGAGAGGATGGGTGGGGTTGGGTGGGATGGAATGGGGGAGAATGATGAGAAAGATGATATCAATTGAGATGCATTACATTTATAAAATCCATGGGTGAATGGTAACTGCTTTGTAGTACTACTTAAAAAATAAAAAATGCAGTTAAAAACCAAAATCATTTAGATGAAGAAGTTATGTTTGTCCTTGATGGAGTAGAAAATTTGGAAAGCAAAGAAAAAAAGTGAATCCAGGAATGGAAACTGGATTCTCTGCCTCCAACTAGACAGTGATCATAGAAAGACTAGAAAGCTTAAATCCTCAATTCTCTCATTTGCTATGTGGGGTTACCATGTTTCACTCTTAGAGTCGATCAGCCTGAGTCTCTAATTAGGTGACATTCTCTATGCTTTAAACAGCCTAGTTCAAAAGAAAGGCACGGATTATGAGTCACATGGCCTTGCTAAACAACAATGATCTGTACACAGACACGTGGGCAAGCAGAGTAAGATGCACCAAAACACACACAAATGGTTAACAAGCATGTTGGGGAGATGTGATTCATAGTTACGGAGCTGTTTGCACAGCCGTGCTTTGATGCAATGTTGTGCATATATACTAAACTCGAGCAACATGAAGATAGGGAGGGAGTCTGGCTTGAATTACCAAGCCAACATCAAATCCAAGCTTTTCAACTCAAATTCCCACCCATCCTGGAAAGAGTGCAACAGTGAAAATTTATGCAAGGAGAGGGAAATGTGTGAAAATTATCGCTACAATCTCTTTTCTCACTGAGCCAAACACTTAGTGTCTCTTTTGCAAGTTTGCAAAATGACAAAAAGGCTTCTCAGGCTGTTGGGAACAGATTGTCCCTTCGGCCCCACTGGAAAGAGGGTGAGGACCTGACTGCTGAGTAACATGTCTGAAGCATAGACATGATATTTTCATTTCGGCTTCAGTGGTTTGAATGGGATGATGGCTGCTTTTTATAGAATTATTGTTCTGGCCCTGTAAATTTGCAAGTCTGTTTCCAATCAAGTGGGATCTTTGTCTCATCCAGGCAATATTTCAAAAAGAAAAAAAAACCAACAACAACATGAATATATTGAAGTATGTGAGATTCTTGTCATGGAGTTTTACTAAGGTACTGTATTGCACAAGGTAACTGGTTCCTCCCAACAGATATGACTGGATGCCTGTCAAAAATACTATCTCACAGTGTTAGATGTGGTAATACATACTGTGATCCCATGTACACAGGAAACAGAAGTCAGTGGATCACAGTCTAAGGCTGGCCTAGGTAAAATCACTGGACCTTATCTGAAAGAAATAACTGAAGCAAAATGGATGGGATATGGCCCAGTTAATATAGCATTACTTGGGACTACACAACACTGACTTCAAAACCCCAGTATATTTTAGAAAGGTGTCACAGGTTCTAATGTGACTTTGACTGTCAGTTATGTTAGTCAGTCATATTAATTAATTCACTCCTATTACTTCCTCATTTTTTTTCAAGTGGATAATTCACAGGTGTCGTTGTCATCATCCGGGTATCCCTGATCGTTCTAAGATTTCTCTTAGGGAATTTCTTTTATAAAATAGTCATGATAAGAGGCCTAGAAATATTCTCCTTCATGCTCTTTCAAAATCATTCTGGTGATATACCACGAGAAAAATTCATTAGTTCCAGTTCCTCTTACTGGACTCTAGGTCTTATACTCTAGTCAGAAAATAAAAGGAGAGTTTTATTTTCTACAATAACTCACCAATTCAATGAGAAAAAATAGCTTCTGGTAGTGGTTCACATTGCTTGAGGAAGAAGGAGGGTGTGTTCTTCGCACTCCTCATGTGTAAGACCATTTTTGTGATCCACCAATATGAAATAGAATCATCACACTGAAAACAAAACAAAACAAAAAAGAGACATTCTGATTGCTTGGAATTGTTTCGATTTGGGGTAGAAAAGGGAAGAGAGGTTGGAACAGAGTCTCATTATGTATCCCAGGATGGTTTGTATGTTAGAAACAGCTCAGGATCTTGAGGTGTCATATAGGAGTAAAGACATCAACTTGAAAGGAACTTGGCCAGACAAAGTTTGGCATCAGCCAAAACTCTGAGAGCCGGCAGGCTGCTCCCTTTTTATCCCTAATCCAGAAGTTCCCATCCCTCTGCTCACATTGGCTGAGTACAGTCAGCAAAAGGATACAACTAAAATTCAAGGCGCTTCTAACAGGATGGCTTATTCACAGTGTAGCAGGAAAAATGACGTATGTAACTAAAACATAGTTAACAAGGGCCAAGCCACTTAGCCCTTCAGAAAAACAATCCTCTCAAGATGAACAGAAAGGAAGCAATCTCATTTGATAGAAAATACATACCTTTCTGGCTTGGAAAAAATTATATTAAGTGAAGTAAGCCAAGCCCAAAGAAACACAGGTCCCATGGTTTCCCTTATTTGCAATATCTAGTATATGTCTGAGTCAAGCAGAAAAGGTCAGATAGGGTGATGTTAGGGAAATGAACCCTAAGATATGTATTCAAATGTTTTTTTTTCTTTCATGCGATTGTTTCTAACGCATTTATAAGATAATTTCTTTGTTGCTTTGTATGTCCCTCCCCCCACAGTATAACCAGTGCTTTCACTGTATTTGATGTCGGTATAATTTGTGGAGGGGAAGGGGAAAAACAAGTCGTTTAAACGAACTTTACAACTTTAGTGCGGGGGGGGGGGGGGTGTAGCGGGGAGAGGGTGGGAAGGGATGGGAAGGGGAAACAGAGGAGGAGGCTACAATGCTTGATAAGAAATATACTCATTATCTTGCCCATGTAATTGTAACCCCTCTGTACAGTATTTTCACAATAAAAAAATAAAAATTAAAAAAATACATACCTTTTTCACACATGCCTCAGACTGACATTGAATTCTTGATACACTTGCCTTTACCTCCTAATTCCTTGAACGGCAAATATTGTGCGATCATGCCTGCTGACATTGTGTCCCATCTAAGAATCCTTCATAACAATATAATATACATGTGCACATGCCCCCCACACACATATACACCACTCTTCACATACACATATTATATGTTTTTTTCTAAAATATTGAAAAAATTATCTATATTGTTTGGATCTTCAGTTTACAAATCTTTTGGTACATCTGGGATATATACTCTTATGTCTATGTACTGTATAGTAAATATGCTGTACATTACATATTATATTTATAATAATTGAATTATAGCATATTATGTAATGCATGTATAGTAAACTTAGTTCATTATATATAGTTGCTTGGACACTTGTGGGGTTTGAATTCAGGGCCTCATGTTTGCTAGGACACTGCTCTACCAATTCAATCATGGCTCCACCCTTCTTGTTTTTCTTTTTCTTTTCTCTGATTGTTGTGGGAAAGGCGATATACAGGGGTTAAAATTTCGTAAGTTAAGTAATGAGTATATTTCTTTTTGAACAGGGCTGTCTCTTCTCTTGTTTTGTCCCAGTTTTTCCCTTCCCCCAACGCGTCCCCCAGTTATATAGTTCATTTTCAACATTGTGTGTAGTATCACTGCTGCATTTGTTGACTATTTGTGCTACAATTTCTGGGCTTCTCCTTACCTCCACAGGATTAGTATGAATTAAAACTAGGCCTTAGTATCTGTGAGAAAATGTACATAACATTCTTATTCTTTGACATAATTTTCTAAGCTATTTCTGGACAACTACCCTCTCTTGAGAATTTTAAGGAACATTTTGTCAAGGTCCCCAAAATAAACAACAAATGCCTATGGAATAATAATTATTGTCATGTCATTGAATACATAGACTATTTTGATAACAGCCAGAACATTATTATTTAATTCTTAGTTCCATAAAACTACATTTTTCCTCATCTTACCCAATCTCACTGTGTCCCAAATTCTTCAAATCCTTCCACAATGAACCTGAGAATTTATAGTTAAGCACTAGCAAATGCCTAGTCATCTAAATCTGGGGATAGGAGACCCCCTGAAGTGCTGTCTATTCACAGAAGGGATTTTGATATCCCTCCTTGACCTGTATTGATGCTTTTCAATAGCTCATACTCTTTTCTCTCTAATGTATCATATATTCACCTCATTGCATTACTTCTTACACTAAACAGAACTCCTAGCAATTCTTCTCATTTATGTAGCATTGCAGCACCTGTCCCATGAATTTTCTCCCTGTCGCATCTGTCCATATACTTGCTGGTGATTTCTATATTTTTGCAGATGGATCGATCTAATAACTTATTTTCTTTCTGTGACCTCATTACCTTATTGTCCTACACTTATCCAATCTTTGTCATAAGTTAGACTTGACTACTTCTTTTTTTCAGTTTTAAACATATTTTTGTCATACTAACTCTTTTTTATTAATAAGTTTTTTTATTGTGAAAATACTGTACAGAGGGGTTACAATTACATGGGCAAGGTGATGAGTACATTTCTTATCAAGCATTGTTGCCTCCTCCTTTGTTTCCCCTTCCCCTTCCTGTCCTCCCATCTCCCCTCCGCCACGCCACTCCCAGCAAAGTTGTAAAGTTCGTTTTTCGACGTAATGTCTTGTACATCTCATTGTTGCAATGGGTCCACCTGTATCCCTATTTAAATGATTTGTTTTTTCCCTTCCCCTCCACAAATTATACCAACATCAAATACAGTGAAAACAGGGGTTATACTGTGGTGGAGGGACATACAAAGCAACAACAAAATATCTTCTAAATGTGTTAGAAACAATCGCAAGAAAGAAAAACCATCTGAGTCTTCATCTTGGGGTTCATTTCGCATAAGATCATCTTACCTGACCATTTCTGCTTGTCTCAGACATATACTAGTTATTACAAATAAGGGAAACCATGGGACCTATGTTTCTTTGAGCCTGGCTTACTTCACTTAATATAATTTTTTCCAAGTCTTTCCATTTCCTAACAAGTGGGGCAATGTCATTCTTGACTGTTGCTTGTAATTACCCTTCTTCAAACAGAGAAAGGCTTCCAGAATCACCTCTGACCACTCCCTGAGCTCACGTCCCTACATACCTTGTTTTATTAATTTATTTTTCTTATTTTAATTTTCATTCCAGGTTCCAGCATTATAATCATGACTGCCTCACTCTTTCCTGGGAACTAGACTTAGTTTCCTATTGTTGCTATTAACAAATGACCACAAACAAATGACCACAAACATAATAGCTTAATAGGATGTACATTTATTATTCAAATGTCTGTAGATTGTAAGTTAAAAAAACAAATAGGCATTAAAACTGAATTAAAACTTAAATCCTGATCCATGGAACATTCCTCAATACAATAAAGGCTGTATATGACAAACCTACAGCCAGCATTATACTCAATGGTGAAAAACTAAAGCCATTTCCTCTTAACTCAGGAACAAGATAAGGATGCCCACTCTCTCCACTTCTCTACAATCTAGTATTAGAATGCCTAGCTACAGCAATAAGACAAGATGCAGACATAAAGGGGATCCAAATAGGGAAAGAAGAAATAAAACTCTCCCTCTTTGCAGATGACATGATCTTGTATTTAAAGAATCCCATAGACTCCACTCCCAAATTACTCAAGCTGATTCAAAACTTTGGCAAAGTAGCAGGTTATAAAATTAACCCCCAAAAATCAATGGCTTTTCTGTATGCCAACAATGAGAAAAGTGTGGCTGAAATTAGGAAAGCAACCCCATTTGTAATAGCCCCACAAAAAATAAAATACCTAGGAATTAACTTAACTAAAGAAGTGAAGGACCTCTATGATGAAAACTTTAAAATCTTGAAAAAGGAAGTCAACACAGAACTTAAAAAATGGCAAAACCTCCCATGCTCCTGGATTGGAAAGATTAACATCGTGAAAATGGCAATACTTCCCAAGGCTATCTACAAATTCAACGCAATACCTATCAAAATTCCACCCTCATTCTTCAAGGAAATAGAAGAGGCAATCCAAAAATTCATATGGAACAATAAAAGACCCCGAATAGCAAAAACGCTCCTCAACGGAAAGAACACTGCTGGAGGAATATCAATACCAAATTTCAAACTCTACTATAAAGCTATAGTAATCAAAACAGCGTGGTATTGGCATAAGAACAGACCTCAGGACCAATGGAATAGAATTGAAAACCCAGAAATGAACCTACAGACCTATAGCCATCTAATCTTCTATAAGGGAGCTAAAACAATACAATGGAAGACAGACAGCCTCTTCAGTAAATGGTGCTGGCAAAATTGGTTAACTACATGTAGAAAAATAAAGCTAGATCCTTATATATCACCCTGCACCAGAATCAATTCCAAATGGATCAAAGACCTTGAACTCAAAGCAGACACTCTGAAAACATTACAGGATGGAATAGGAGAAACCCTGGGTCTCCTTGGCTCAGGCCGAAATTTTCTGAATAGAGACCCAGAAACACAACAAATCAAAGAAAGGTTGGGCAAATGGGATTGCATAAATTTGCAGAGCTTCTGCAGGACAAATGACATAGCTAGTAAGATCAATAGAAAGCCCACGGATTGGGAGAAGATCTTTACTAGCCATACAACGGACAAGGGTCTCATATCTAAAATATACTTGGAACTCAAAAAATTAAACCCCCCAACAACAAATCCTCAAAGAAACAACTGCTCAATAAATAAGTGGCCGAAAGACTTAAAGAGAAACCTCTCTGAAGAAGAAAGAAGGATGGCCAATAGACACATGAAAAAATGTTCAACATCCCTAGCCATAAAAGAAATGCAAATCAAAACAACATTGAGATATCACCTCACTCCAGTTAGAACGGCAAAAATCAAGAACTCTAACAACAACAGATGCTGGAGGGGATGTGGACAGAAAGGAACCTTACTTCATTGTTGGTGGGAATGTAAACTTGTTCAACAACTTTGGAAAGCAGTATGGAGGTTCCTCAAAAGACTCCACATAGAGCTCCCCAATGACCCAGCAATCCCACTTTTGGGCATTTACCCAAATGATCACAAACAAGGCCACACTAAAGCTACCAGCACAACTATGTTTATTGCAGCATTATTTACCATAGCTAAGATATGCAACCAACCCAGATGCCCCTCAATAGATGAATGGATCAAGAAGATGTGGTATATATACACAATGGAATTCTATG